CCCCCCCCCCTACCCGGTCACTAAAAGCTCTTGAATTTCATGCCCCCGTCCAGTCCGAGTTACATCCACTGCCACTGTCTGCCGTGGAACACATGAACTTCGTGCAAGGAGAACATCGTGGAATCTATGCGCGGTTCGAACTTCGTTGTCTCAACAGGATATCGAACTAATACTTGTTGCAAATTCGAATAAGTTCGTCCGATGTTCCGGCAATCTGCAGACGCACGAGCGCGCACGTGAACATCCCCCAGGAGTGCGAGCGGCATTTGATACGACGTAATCGATAAGAGGGTACAGTGTTATTTCACACAGCGGTCGCGAGAAAGGGTACGCTTCCGAGCACGGTTTCCGCGTTAATAAATTTGAGAACCGGGTCGTCGGGCACAGATCGATGACGAAGGTGGCCCGCGAGCGTAATTATCGCTAATCCGAAATTCCAGGGCGAAATAAACGGCGAGATGTAATAAAAAGCAGCAGCTGCTCTTCTCCCTCCTCCTCCGCCTCCTCCTACCCTTTCTCCCTATATCTGTCTTTCCTTTTCCCTTCCTCGCCGCCGACGCGACCTCATGCAAATTCAAATGGCTCGCTCTCTATCGCGATATGACGGCCAACTGCGAAACGGACGATCTCGTCGTTTCTCGACGTCCTCTCGACCGCACTCCATCTACAAACAACTCACGATGGTTCAGTATGCTTCGTCAAGGCATTAAAACGTTAACGAGAATCTAGAATATCAACAGTCACGGGCGATAACTCGCTGCATAGACGGGAATCTCTTTTCGACAGGGAGCAGGAAACGTTGACCGGCGAATCCGAAGGAAAATAACGCACCAACTGTATCGATGATATCATCTTAAATATTTGCGAGCGGGGTTGATCTGAATACTTACCGATTTCAAAATCATCTGTCACAGATTATGCAATATATGGTAAACAACATTTCATCCGATAATCGCTAACGTTTAATATATTGGTCGAGAACTTTTGAGTGAGAAGCAAGCAGTAATGAAACAACCGTGATTATCAGTACTGATAACATCTTAAACATTTTTTTCTTTTATTCGTTAAACGAAAGTGACGGGTCAATAATAGCCTCGGGTGACTATCCACTTGAAAATACCTCATTATAGATCGTACGATATTGCTAAAGTTCCTAATCGTAACAAACTTCGACGAAGTGCATTGTTATGTTACTTCCACCTTACAAGTTTGCCGCGGCGTTACATTCAGCTTGCTGTACCGCATGTCACGTTTAACCAGTAATCCTGAGATGCGAAGCATACTTCATATAACGGTATTAAACTTTTAAAGTTGGAACTTATGAAGAGTTGCGTGACACAGAATGTAAAGAAAGCGAGCGAGGCACGAAATTATGTAACACAGATTTTTATCGGCAAACAATAAAGAAATATGTTGAGGAAAATCCTATTTTCGCGAAAAAAAACCATTATCACAACGTAATATAACTATTTAATTTAATTAAATTCTACATTAAGTCTTTAAATAGAGAAAATGAAAATAACTTCCTATTTGTAGCATCAAAAGAACACGATAGAAGAACCTTTGAAAACTCAACGTAGAACTCAAATTTCAATTCAGGTACCAGAGCCCCAAATAGCGACTATTCAGAATAAAGAAAAGCACTATCAGTCTTTTAATAAACCTATTACTCTATCACTCTAATATTATTATAAATAAGTCTTTCGTGCTAATAAGTTATTTTAATAATTTCCAAATTCCGACCCGTTTCATTTGCTCGAATTACCATGCATGTTCGAATTTGGTATGAACGAAGCAACTGGAGAGCCAGTGTTATAAGATGTTAGCTGTTAAGGTGATCGAATATTCGAGAATTATTCCACTGTTAGAGATTCGCTTCTAATATGACTCCTGATTGAATCGAAGTTTCGAGAACGTCTATTTAGCAACTAATGGAACGACAACATTTCTTATGAATGCGACGCGTATATTTAAGCCGACGTTACTCTGTTGTGATCGGAAGGTTATAGTAATACGTTCAAATCCATCACATAGACATGTAAACAACTTCTGGCGAAGCGTCTAAATATCCGACCGATTCCATATAAGCACGTCCCGAATCAACGGACGAAGCCAGTTCTCTGAAACCCATCCAGATTTGCGGTCCACTGTTAGTAATTTCTTTGCATTCGCGTCTTTCGCTGAGTTTATCGTTTGTAATGCTCGAGAGCTTTCCGATGTACCACGCGAGAATGATTCATTAATCGTGATTGCGTGAACGATCGGCTGTAAAACTTTGTTACCTTCCGTCTAAAATTGTTATTGGAAGAGATGAAGGAGATTTTGTCGATCTTACTAGTTCTTTCGTTAGGTTTACTAGCTCTCTGCTTAGACTGCAATTCATCGATATACGCGGATCATTTACAAACAATACGCATAATATTTCTGTTTATTCTCTCTCCTTTATCTCTATATCAAATACAAACGCGCTTATCAGATATTGATAATGCAAAGTGGAGCAGTAATCTAGCAAATGCTGTTTTATTTACCGCAATCAGGTTTATTCGTATATTATCTATCTATTTAACATTGCAACAATGCAACAATGTTAACGTTAGATTTTGTGTTATATGAGTAGATATATATGTATAAAGTTAGATATAAAGTACTAGCGTTATAAGATCAATATAAATAATCTGAGATATCGTAAGCCTAAATATTTCTTTGAACTTTACTATTTAGACAACATCGTAGAGGAAGAAAAATAATTATGACGTTAGCACTATTGTTTTTAATTCCTTTATTGATTATTTGTGATGGTGAGTAACTTAGTAGACGAATTAATTGATTTTTAATGTGATTGTTCAACTTAGTGTAAATTCACGAATAATCATAAATTTTACGAACTCAGGGAACCCTCTTCCAAACTCTTTGGAACTCTTCATTATTGGAGGAAGAAAAGCTACACCAGGCGTAATACCATACCAGGTAAGCTGTTTACAAATTCTCATTAATTGTTTCACCTTAAAAGTATCGAAATAGATATAATGTGATCGGTACTTAATCGGAGAAAGTCAATATGGGGAAATAACAAGAGAAAAGTACAATCCCCTAAATGATCATCAATCAACATCTGAAGACAAGACGCACACAGACCGGCGCACCGAGCGAACGTGTCGCGAATTTAAACGAACGTGAGGCGATTTAAACCGATGGCGCTAAAAGTTGTTTTTGCGTTCCTTATTCTGAATTCTATTAAAATCTCAGTTTATAAATCTGTGTTCTATTTTCTTATTTGAGCCGCGAGGGCAAATTAGGTAAATGTGCCAGCAATGCTGCGAAGTCGCGATTAAGGACGCGCGAGCGGAAGCGCAATGATATATATTTCGAGCTGTCACAAATAATATTTATTTCTCAGGTGTCTCTACAGCAGGTCATAGATCAAAACAACTTCTGTGGTGGTGTTATACTTAATGAATATTACATACTGACCTGCGCTCACTGTATATTCGAGTAAGTGTAAGAATAAAGACTTGAAAAATAAACTTCACGGAAAAATAAAGCAAAGCGCAGTGGTATTAAAGAGTGTAATATACTCCATAGAATGGACATCAGTCTTTTTACGGTAGTTGTGGGAACAACCGATTTACGATTACCATACGCAAGGTACTTCCCCGAGTCCAGCTACATTCATGAACGGTACAATGTTTCAGACTCGTTGATCAACGATATCGCTACAATTAAGGTAACGTCTATTAAGCGTAAATAATAGACGTATGATTCGCATAAATTGAACGAGATCTGAAAATCATGATTCCGCAAGAAACGCACATAAAAGATGTACTCTTTCAGGTGAAAACTCCGTTCGTATTTTCTTCCCTGGTATCTCCCGTCGTATTACCGCAGCAAGATGAAATCGTTAAGGCCGGTGCGACAGCAGTTGTATCGGGATACGGCAGAATAAAGGTGAATCTTCTAAAAATTAAACTTCTTCAGAGATGACAGAATGTATACACAAATGTATGCGTTTGGATACGTCCAGTTTTTCTTGTTTAATTCAGACATCGTCGAAAAAATTTAACAAACATTACTAAACTGAGTAAACGTTCACTACAAAGTTCCATGAGAAAAAGAGAAATCTCATCACACGATTAATAAATGTCTTTATGATTGTGTTTTCAAAATTATGTTTTCAAAATTAAATGATTTTTTCCTTACTTTAATACATTCATTCCTGAAGTGATTAAACATTAAAAGACGCGTGGAAAATTGTGTACACGGTTGTATTTCCGAAAGTCGCGTTTCAAACTGGTTAGCTGTGTCGTAAGCACACGTACATATGTATATTTTTTCACTTACAGCTTAATGGAGAGAGGACCAAAGGATTACACATTGCAAGCGTTACGATAACCGATCAAGCTAACTGTAAAGCTATATACAAGAGGGGACGGAAAATCATATACGACACGCAAATCTGTACAAATGAGCCTACTGTGGTGAAGGGTTCGTGTTTGGTAAGCTATTTACAAAACGTTACGGTACATCACCGTCATTAGTACTGGTCGCAAGTGCAATTTTACGCCGTCTGGCCAGGCACAGTCGTTAACTATTTAGCCCGAACTATTCTTCTCACGCGAAGCGCCTCGACTCGTCGTTACTCGTTCTAACGATTTCTGAGCAGAACGTCTCGATGTAACGCGTGTGCCTCGGGTCGCGCAACATGCTTTAAATGGTCTTTGACATTGTGTTATCTCTAAATATTTACCGGGAATGCGTGATATCAATTGTTACGATCGACCAAACACGCGACGATTATTAATTTTTTACTTATCAGTATATAACGAAACGTCCGTACCGACGATGCACGGACCGATGATTATCACATGCATCAATCGTCGTGTCGTTGATTATCTAATATTATTATAACGGAGCGTATCGTTCATGTTCCGTAATTTAATTTAGTAATTTGCAGCAAGATACACGAGAAAATCGGGCTGAACGGCGCAAACTCGTCAACGTCCAATATTAACCTAATTAAATTGGCACGGAAGATAGCAAAAGATAACAAAAGATAATAATGATAACAAATAAATTTTTTATATTAGTGAAAAATATATTTCTATTTTAATCGTAACGGCAGATAAACGATGAAAAAATATCATTTCTTCGAATTGTTTTCTTTCAATTAAATTCTGACAATATAATATTACTAGATAACTGGTGGGAAATTGTATCTTTTCATCTTTCAGGGTGATTCCGGCGGACCTTTGACGGTCGATGGGAAGCTCGTAGGGCTCATCTCGTGGTCAGTAAGTTGTGGTAACACCAGATTCCCTACTATATATACGCGCGTTTCATCGTACATCAATTGGATTTCAGAACACACCATGTAACTTAAAATAACTAACGTAACAGCTAAAATTAATATTTTAATGAGATACGCGGAAATCGCATGTAATGAGCATCATGTAAGGTGAGGCACTTGAAATTGCTATCTAAAATAACTTAACGAATATCGATGTCACAGAAAAATTTTTTAGATAAAAAGTAAATGATTTTGAAGGAAAGCGGAACTGTATTTATGTCATCTAATTTTTTTCTATGCAATGATACCGAAGTCACATGAACTTTATTTGCTTTCATCTAAAAAATTTTTCTATCGATAATCGATATTTATTAAGTTATTTTAGATGACAATTTCGAGTGCCTCATATTATATATATTCGAATATAAATATAAAATTTTTTATAATGCATATGTATATATATGTAATATATATATGCTTGTATCGTTTTGTGCTCTGTTATAATGCTCTATTATTATTCGATATGTAATATTACTATTTTATAATGTTCTATTATACTTTTATTATTTCGTTTACACAAAAAAACAGAAATCTCATCGCAAATATTGAGATACCATGAAAATTCGCAAGACTGTTTGAGCATCGATATTTGTAGTCTGCAATGTTACTAAACAACACGGAAACAAGTTTGAAAAACGATGGTTCCAATATACTGTAAATATTACGTTGTACACGTTGCGTTCTACGATTTATTAATATTTATAGTTTAACAACAAACGAATCAAAACAGAGAAATAGGTCAATCGAAGGAAACTTGTTTAATTATCTCGATAAAGTATAATAATTTACCGGGTAAACGAAATCGTTTCTAACAGAAATTAATAAACATTTTCTTCAGAAATGAATAAAACTGTTATATGTATATGCTGCTTCTCATTTCTGTCCGACGTTAATTTCTACATTTCGCGCGTGCGTGCGCACACAACTACACACACGTACATATATTCGTCACGTGGAGTTTTGCGAACGAAGCACGTCGGCTCTTTTACTGAAATATATATTTTAAAACGCGGTCTCTCTCTCTCTCTCTCTCCCTCTCTCTCTTAACGGAACAATAACAGTCACTGGAAAAGAAATGTCGTTTGCGAATGACCTGCTTTTGTGGACGAGCGAATTGTGTTCATCAACGAATATCGATCGTGCTTACGAAGGAAGATGTTAGAGTTTAACGAACGCATCCCTGAAAGATTCGTAAGGCATCAAATCCGAATTGAATAGGAAAGTAGTTTGCGGAGAGATGACACGTCGCGCCAATAGCTTTTACTTTTACGACGTCGTGAAGGCGATATCGAAAACGCTCGGCTTCCGTCCGAGCCATGTTATTCGGCGCCATAGACTTCTCATACTCTTATACACATGAGATCGAAAGACAAACCGCCAATATGAATAAAAAACAAATTATAAGCACCAATGATCAAAATAGGGAATAATATAGTCGTATTTCAAGCAATTATAGCATGAGACGTGTAATTATTTCTGGAAACTCTGGAGAAAACAGTTTTATGATTTCTCATATTTCCTTTTCTGTGAGCTTCGCGCTGCAACTTTTGCACACACCTCTCTATTCCCTTGAGTAGTACGTATAATTGTTAAGAATTAGCACGAGGAGTTTCCACAAGTTTGTTCGCCCGGATTTACGTCGTCTTTAATTCCCCTAAACGCGTTACGCGGATGTGACTTGCATACGCCTCGCCTTGTATGCGTATACAGCAATCGCTCCCTTTGCGTAATTAAGGAAAATAGTTCAGATGTCCCAAAGTGCTCTCCACGAAAAATACGAAATCACATCGAGACAGACACGTCACATCAACATTCGTCAGGTAAAAATTTACGTCGTTTATTTATTTATCCAAACTGATTTCTCATTAAAACTGTATTGCCTGATAAAGAAAACACGAGAAATTATTTCAAATCAATCATCACGTCTAATCACGATTCGTAATTAGAATCCGCATAATTACAGTTTACTTCGATATAAATAGCATATGTGTAATTCATGGTTAAACGCGTATTGTTCCTAGACAGACTTTTATCCCTAACGTATGATCCGTATCGATGAATCTGAATAGTTTCAGAATTCCGTCCAGTTTCAGGACCATGTTTGTCGACTAACCGAGCGCAGGATCGCACACGTGGGTCGGACTGTTTCGCTACCTGCATGATCGATGAGAAACTCCGGATGTGAGGTCGTCGGACGCAGGTGAGTCCTGGAACAGCGGTTCTCAATATCGTTTCTTGCTCGGCAGAATCGATCGACTCTGCTACCTCGCCGCCACGAGCCGCTGCAGCAGGATACCGCGATAAAGAGCGGAGCTTGCAAGTCAAAATTTCGCTGATCAAAGATCCTCCAAGCCGATATTCTGTTTGCGGTAGAAATCCAGGAATACCGATTAAATATACGGCGATCAACTTACGACACGGTATGACATCCTGCTTTGTGTATTGAGAGTTAACACATCTCGATATATCGTCACCCGCACAAAGCAGCTTATTGTGCAAAGCCGGGTGATTCTCTTCTTATCGTAGTTCCATTTTAACTGATGTAAGCCAGACTGCATTCCATTAGGTAGGGGAGAATCGATCGACCCCTACCTTGGAATCCAGGCGTCGTTCTCGCGGCTGTCTGTCAAGATTTCGTGATAAAGAAGGATGGCGCTCCCAGGACAACCGAATCCGGCGGCGACATTGCGAAGCCGTTCGCTGGAATGAAGTGTACAAATGCCAAGAACTTGGCGAACTTCCGTCTACTCCAAGTTCGAGTGTTCGGCTCTTCATAAAACTTGGCTGCGACGCAAGAATCTTTCTTCGAACACTCCTACGTAACGTGATTGCCGCTCTCCATAAATCGTGATTCTATATCTTGATTTGTGCATATTATTGTACGCAGAAATGTTGTCCTTCCACTTTCGCAAACATTGCAGAAAATAGAAATACGTGTAGAATTTTATATTTTCAAATATATCAACGTACGAATACACACATACGCACACACACATACACATACAATTCATCTCGTGGCCTCTGATGGGACTATGTTGCGAGTCGCGACATAGTAAAATTCCCGGCAGAATACCGTGTACAACTCCATCTCGCTACATGGAGAAAAATTTTTGGAGATATTTTCATTTATATCACGTGTCGTATATGTCCGCAATGTGCAATCTGCGAAACGAGTTTTCCAATAAACGCCGTTCCTTCCGTCGAAAATTCGAAAATTGGATGTCGAATATCAATACCGCGTGAGCAATGAAACATTAATATGAATTCTTACCAGTTATATATATATATATATATATATATATATCGTGTTAGCCGATTTTTAACGTTCATAAATTCTGGTGAGATTTTACATCGCCGTAATTGCTATAATTGCTGAAATAGGTTCAAGAGTAACGTGAAGGCGTTAGGGTCACGTAGCGAGACGAGATTTAAAGATCCAAATTAACGCTAAATTATTCAGAACACTACGCGGTCGTTTAAGAGCGTACCGTTTAACTTTGCATCGTAAAAGAAAGCATGTCTCCGCAGCATTATCAGCACGTATAAGACTTTCGAAGTGTCTGGACCCGAGCCAACATCGCCTTGGATGCAGTTTCGCATCTGCCCAGCTACATCGATCGAAAGGTCACTCAACCAAGTGCTTTCGTAATGAGGAGAGAGAGAGAGAGAGAGAGAGAAGCATTACGAGGACAATAAAATTATAACAGGCATATCTGTGTAATTGCAGCATCAGTTATACAGACGTCTGACTTTTCAGTCGCAGTTCTGAACGTTTTCACAAATCGCGAATGAATTGACGAAAAGTGATGTACAAGATTGAAAAATATAGAGATACAGCAATATTGCGTAAGTAAATACATAGAATGTTTCCGACCCGATTGAAGATTGAGAAGTAATTATTGCAATAATATCTAGAATACTTTTATATTTTCACTATGCAAAGTATATATAATATTACTGTTATACTTAAATTGTGTACATATTAAAATATTAAATTGTATATTTATATGCAGTAAACATTATAATTAAAACATATCGTTGTCCTTTTTCATAAGAAAATATATTTGCAACCGTCCCAGATAATCAGCTGATGAGAGGCAAATCAGGACGGGCGACTCTCGTTCAGACAATCTCGTGTCCGTCAGAAACGTTTCTGCCGTCGACTTCAATAGGACAAAGAAGTTCAGTTGACGCTAAGTGTGAATAATTAAATCCCACGTTAAGTAACATCCCGTACTTTTCGCTACATTCTGTTTATGCGATTAGCTGTCACACATGTGGTCATGATTATTCGTATAATCTAAGCGGCGGTCCTGGCGGTAATTAACTTACCCCCGAAGCGATGCTAACTTACCATGAACGCGCCAGCCGTAATTTGCGTTTGACTAATTACAGAGGCGTTATGCGATATTACGGTGTACTGCTTACATTACGAGCAACGTTTCGCGTAACTTTTCGCGAGCCATTAAAAAGCATCGTTCGTCCTAGCAGCAGCCGTTAGCGCGGGCCATAACAGAGAATTCCAATGTCGCGTATTATCCGACGAAACGTTCGTCGTTATAAACAATATTTCTTCAGTCGAGCGCGAACGCAACATTCGCAACCCAGCGCGGATTTCTGTGCGAAGAAATATTTGTTGATTTAACGTGGACTCTTCTATTTGCTCGCTTGCCGTGCCGTTGCGAGGGAGATTAATGTTTTATTAATACAATAAATATACATAGTACAGTTGTGGTAAACACTAAGAAATTTGTAGGCTATCTATATTGGTCAAATCAATAGACTTGGTTATCATTTTAAAAAAGGCGGGCTTCGTAACTCGGTCGAAAGTACACAGCTCGATATTTTCGTCGTTTATCGGCAACTCGAACGAGACAATAACGCTCTGCGTATTTTCTATTCAGCACAACATTGATAATTATATATATATTAATAATATATATATAATTATCAATGTTTATAATAATATGTAATTATCAATAAATTCGAGAATGCAGTCAAAAGACCGTCGGATTTAAAACTGAAAATTTCCACCAGAAACGCAAAATTATAAGTCAAGTAAATCTGTCATTTATCGATTGCAGTCTGATTGGTTAATTTACGCGCTTCAAACGTTTGTCAAAACATTAATTCTGTCGAATCAAATCGCATACTTCATTTCTGTAGAGAAGAAGGTAGCATTATGGCCTTTGTAGGTATTACGGCTCCCCTTAATATCTCCGCTATT